ACACCCTTCTTCCATCATCTTTAGGTCGTCTGCATTAACGTCGGAGCCTGATTCATCGCCTTCCTCAGTGACGCTTTTGCCCTTCTCATTGGCCGACAAAGAGGTATGTGCAGTCATTTGAGAAGTCGATGCCTCATCTCGTCGTGAAGTGTCAAGAATATCAGCAGCTGTCCCTTCAATTCCCGCCATCACAGAAGGAAGAGACACATCCATATCGTCTCCCCCAACCTCGGAACCTCGGTACTCGGCTCAATATCATCACCCACAAAAATGGTCACTGTCTTACGCAGCAAAAAGTCCTATTCCGCCGCATCAACGGCCCGGATGACTTTGTCACCAACGTCCACAAACCTTCTCTTTCGAGGCAGGAGATCTCTATCACTAGGCAAAGGTTCATCGTCCTCGTCGATGAGAGAATACAGAGGAGAAGCCGAAGTTTCCACGGCCGAAACAAGAACAAATTCAAACACAACGACAGAGGAAACTAGGATGAGGATAGGATCAATCGCGGTCGAAACATGGGCAGAAACTGAGGACGTAGTAGACTTCCTCTTCTGGAACGAGGGTGCGAGAGCTTTCGACTTCCTCATAGACCCCCTGGACAAAGCTAGAGAAAACAAGAAAAGGGAAAATTAGCAAAAGAAAATGAACAAAGAAATCAAGATGCAGATGGTAAAACGGAAATTACCAGTCGAAGGGAGAGCAGGCCCAAATTTCTTGAAAAGACTTGGCCATTCACGAATCCTTATGATATGAGGGAGAAGCCGATCGACCCAATCAGAAATATGAGCGACCAAAGGAGGAGGCGAGATCTTGGCTATAAAGGAAAAAAGGCAAGAAGTCAAAATACATGGCCGTGCACAAGGGAGAAATAGGTACCTACAAGTAGAGAAACCAAGTACTTACGAGTATAGTTCCAAGCCTCAGAAAAACCGTCGACATTGGCCACCACGTCCTCAGTTCTGACAAAAAAGAAGTTGAACCAAAATTGACGGTTGGCCTTGTCATCCATCTTCACCACCAGGCATTTGCCCCCCTCCCCCGATGGTGAAGATTCAAAATCGTTCCCCTATAGAAGCTAGAGGCAAATAGGTGAATTAAATGCCGAAGTGTCAATTCGACTTCGGCTAGATTGGCAAACTTGGTAAGCATCTTTATAATTTTATATACGTACGGTGCAAGCTGAGCTGGGCAAACGCCGTAGTAACGACAGAACTCCTCGACCAACGGAAGGAGAGGAAAAGAATAGACAACTTGGAAAGGATAGGCATGAATGGCACAATAGCCGGGATGGTGGACCAGTACTGCATCCCCTTCAGCAGGGATCAACTCGATATGATCAGGAAGGACAAATTTGGCCTTGAACTCCGCTAGTTCATGTACTGTCATCACTGATCGAAAGTCTCCAGGTACAGTCTCAGGTGCTTTGGTGAAGTCGGATCTGGAATCAGGGTTACATGGGACTATTTCCTCCACCGACGGGAAAGTTTCATCCTCAATGGTGGTGGAAACACTCTCCCCCCAAGAAAGGAATACCACTGCTAAGGGAGAAACACGGCTCCCCTCACCAGCATTAGAAGGCACTTCAGACATGATTCGACGCACTGAAATAACAAACAAAAAGGAATGAAGAAGAACATAGGTCACTGGAAACAGAAGAAATTTAGAGAAGAAGAAAGCAGGAAAGAAATAAGGTGTCTTAAAAACGCTAGAAAACTTAAACTCTTAAATTGAATTCAAAGATCTCTATTTATAAAGGTGGCACCGAAACCAAAAACAGTTCATCATTGGCGTCAAGACCGAAGCGGCAGGTCTAATCAAAGGTCACACGAAAAATAAAGCAATGGATCGGGAACATGCGTCATAATGACGTATGGCATTATGACATCATCCTGATCTATGGACGATATAACTCCAGCGAATCGCATGGGAAATTCGAAGCATTTTGAAATGTGCGACTCATACAGGGCCACATCACCTGTTCGCCATAATAACCATGACTCGTGCGGTCGACTCGATTAGCTCGACCACTGACAGCATGATCCGCTCATCGAACCCGCCCGCAAGACCGGCCGCAATAAGCGGAGGGACTAACTGTATGGGTCGAAATTTATCTCTAGAATATAAGTCAAAATGATATCGGTAAAGCATCTTTAGGTCGCCATGGGTCGAAATGATCAAATCAACAATGAAGGCCGTGGTCGAAGAGTCGGCAAAGATCGAAGTCGAGGAGTCGTCAATAACCATTGCCGAGGTCGTGGGCCTCTGACAGTGTTATAACGGCTAGCTGTAAGATTGGACCTAAAGGAGAATATTCTAGTGGATATTCTCTGCACTTGTACTATTAGGGTTTCTAGGAACATGTTCCCTATAAAAAGAAGAGACACAATGATAGGGGACGTGTGATATTCATTTGTAGAAGACACTTTGACTTTAAAGGAGAGAATCAGATCTTATTGCACCGATACAAATGTAATCTTTTCGCTAAGATTCTTGTCTACACTTTTTCACCAGATCGGCGAATAACTCAGATATACAAAGGATTGTCCATCTCTCATCATTGTCAGAAAGAATATCCATTACTACCATCTTGTCTTGGGTGACTCCTCTGCATTTATTTACATAAATGCCATTTATTATTGTTCATCTACATTCAATGGTGCATTATTTGTATTTTGATTCTTGACCATTGACTATTGCATGCTGCCATACCCGTTAGAACAAATTTGCACATCATTCATTATACAACTAGGATTTCTTTCAAGGATATTGTTGTTAACAAAGATTTACTCTCATTTATATAAGTTTAATTAGTTAAACCAAAATCTATATTTTTTGGTCAAACAAGTTGCACAACAGTCTTGTTTGAAATTTGATGCAAATGAAGCAACAATTATCATACGGCTCACTAATTATTAGACATGTCTTAAGTATCTGATTCACATATTTCTGTAAAACAATCACTTTATTAAACTCGTCTAACTCAACTCCAAAATGTTAGCTGATGAAATGAAGGCGTGCAGACGAGGAGACACGATGTAACTTTACGACAACTAATTTATTTGATTCATAATGTAAAATTCACTAGATTTGTTTCATTTAAACTCACACATACATGGGGTTTACATCAAATTATATTAGTTTATTATGATTAAATATTAAATTGATATAAGAACACATATTCGTCAATAATCAGAAGCGAATATAAGATTTAAATTTTATGAGTTCAATTTTTAAGATTTTTAGCATTGAACCAGTTATATTTTTTAAGTAATGGGTTCATGTCTACTATTTATTACAATTTCAGTGTAGCTTACACATAAATTTATAATCCGAGGCGAAAATTATGGATTCAATTGAACCCTATGGTACATCCGTCTCTGTCAATAATCATGATTTATTTATGAACATATAAGTAAACGACACATGTTATGCATTTATTTAGTGCTCCGAAAATATCGAGGGTGAATAATGTGGAGTCAATTGACTTTACAACTTTTTAAGTCCAAGTCAATAACTAATGCCTGCATGCGTGCTTACTCTTCAATAGAAATCCTTTCCAAGTCAATTTTTAGCCCTTAAATCTACTTTATATTTTAGTGGCTCTCACGATCATGTCTCTCAAATCAAAATTGCCGGCTGTTGCGAGTCGTTAGACCGAGGTCTTTTCTTGAACAACTACTTTTCTTCCATTCTGCAGTCTGCTCAGTGCTCCCCAACAACCCTTGCCCCACTAGAAAAAGCAACTACTACTTTAGTAAGTACTCCTATTTAGTGATCTCTATATTTAATCCAAAACTTATATCCATATTTAGTTGAAAAAGAAGCCGAGAACAACCTGCAAAATATTTTGTCTGCACTGAAAGCAGTAAAAACTAAAAAGATTATCAATCAAACAAGTTTGATTTTTAAGATTTGTTAAATTCGCATTCTCACTAGCCAGTATAGTAGAATACAAGAATGCAAGATACGCACACAATTATCAAACAAATTGACCTGCATCTGAAGATTTGATAGAAAGTACAAAGGACTAACCATCAGAAAATAACCTGTAAAATTTCTTTTTAAAAGTAGATCTTTACCTGGGGTCGGTGTAACCTTTTTGATAAGTAGGAATAAGGGTAATCTTTATAAGAAAATTTGCCTTGCTTAACCTGAAAATAGTTTTATGGTCCAAATCAATTAAATTTGTATTTTCAGGGCACAAGCAATCAATTTGACTCACTTTCTCAAATATAAATGGCAAGAAATAATAACGATGGTAAATAAGGAAATCAAATATTAGGCAAAAGGAAAGAGAATTCTTGTTGATCAAGATGTCTCCTTTTTCAAATCGCGCCTAGATTGATTCGAGCAAGATACAATGATATAGAGTGTTGAGATCAGTTGTCGAGGTATATTTTTTAGATGGATATAATGTAGGAGAAGTGGAGATTTAAATAGTAAAATTATCCATAACTGTTTCCCTAATATCTCCCCGACACGTTACCCTCATTAACTACGTTTTTTGCAAGTTACGCTGAGGATCTAGAAAATTTTTATTTTGTGCCTCACACAACTGACACTAGGTGTGTGAGCCTCTTTTTTGTCACAAATATGTGAGATAAAAAGAGGCCTCATACAACTAGTGTAAGTTGTGTGAAACACAAAATAAACTAATGTAAGTTGTGTGAAACACAAAATAAAATCACTCAACTCAATGAGTTATACCAAATCCCACTTTATTCGGGATTGAATGATTCATCTCTTTTTTGTACTAGTATGTTCTCCAAACGATTACGGTACGAATGGTCCTGGTACCAAATAACTCTCCACTTGACTGATCTCGGTCTTATCCTTTCCATGATCTTCTAATATTCTTGACACGTGTCGGGATACAATCAATCCACATGGCAAATCAATTTTTTACCCAATACAGACCTAAAGTGAAGAGTGGAAATTCCTGTTCCAGAAAATACACATTCATTTCTTTAGAAAAAACCGCTCATTCACAAACCATGGAACTAGGAAAATTGGAGCCTTCATTATTTGTATAAACATCAGAGTTTGTGTACAAATATACCAAGACTAACTTCAAAAACTAAAATTCTAAGAACTTATAATTCTCCCAAATTGTTGACATTAGCCAGTCACAGGGCCAAGAAGGGCCCCGACTGGCCTTATCCAAAAGTAACAGTAATAATTACGCCTCAATTCCAAATAAGTTGCAGTCGACTATATGATCTCTCACCGTGCATGTCTAGAATATCTAATTTATCAAGCATAAAAATTTGATCTCAACACAATAACATGCATGGCTGCAGGAGGAAAAATAGAGGACATCGGAAGAGGGAAACAAAGAGATCATTCTAATGTACCACAATGTATCACGTTGAAGAGATCTCTGAAGCGCCACTGGGAACAGACAAATCGACTGGAGTAAATACCATTTCCCTTTGGTGTAAATGCCTCAAACTTTGATCCATACTAACTTGTATCACTTCAGCAAGCAAACCTCGCGCTTTTTCAGTTTGCTCATTTCCATCTAATTGATATATAAGATTTGAAACAATGTTCTCCAATGTGTCAGGTTTAAGCTCAGACCTTTTATAAGGAGTCTCTCTAAGCAACCTTAAAAGGGTTTGTGATTTTTCTTGAGATTTAGCTGTCCCTTTAACAGTCAGCTCAAGAAGTCCAGGCATTACACCTTCTCTAAGAATTAATTCCCGGTATTTACACCGATCAATTTGACACATCGTCAGCAGAGCTCCTACAGCATGTTCTCTACTTTGCAAAGATCCAATTTCAAGCACTTCTACTATTGCAAAAATCCCTCCTTCTTCAGACGTCAACGCGTTCCTACCTTCCTCATAGCACATTAATGATTCTATAAGAGCAGTACATTTTTCAGCAGCTTTTGAAGACTTTTTACAAGATTTAAGCAAAGAAACTATGTAAGGAATTGGTTCTGTTTCAAGAATCAATGTTAAATTTCCTTGATAAGTTGAAAGATTGTAAAGAGTCAATATAGCATTAACCTTGGCTTGTGAGCTACCGCGTCTTAGAATATCCACAAGTAGAGGAATGACACCGAAAGAACTAAGGATCGGCTTCGTTACAGAAGATGCTGATAATGTGAGCAATGAAGCAGTTGCATAATTCTGTAAACTTACATTTTCTGATTGAAGAAAGCCAATGATCGGTTCCAAGGCACCAGCATCTATGATACTTTTCTTGTTCCTAAAAAGAAAGGAAAATAGAGTCAGTTATCAAAGTTTTATTAGCTGCAGGACTTAATTTTAGTTGCACATTAGAATCAGCGGTCGAGCCAAGATTTGAAGCTTATATTTAAGTGTGAGATTCTAGTCCTTTTATGTTACTAGATTCAATGAATCTTTTACGACAAATAAAGGTTTGTACTGAAGTTATTTGGTTCGGTCAATCCTGTAACACACACACTAACTCCGCCCTTGATTAGAATACTGTTTGAATTTAGCTACACTGCAGACATGGCATATAATTCCAGATATCAAATACGTAAATCTTGTCACTACCATTGATCTAACACACAAGTCAAGTTACATTCTTAACTAAGGTCTAGTCATGAAACATCATCGTATAAAACTAAACTAATACTACCATAAAGCAAAACCAGCAGAATAACAATGTGAAAAGAACATGATAATATAAGGCCACTTCATAATAATTACACATAAATTTTTATGAAAATATTGATTGATAACCTTGTAAAAACCATAAACTAAGGGTCGTTTGGTTTAAAACTAAGGATTAGTTATACTCGGATTACTTATCCGGGTATTATTTATTATTGACTGTTTGGTATGTTGTACTAATTATGTGATTGTCAATTTTACTGCTTTATCCCAAGATTACTATTCCACCATCTGGCAGGTATAAGTTATCTCGATACTATTTTTAATCCTGGGATAACTTATCCCAATATTAGTAACCAAACAAGGGATAAGGCAGTGCTAAATATTTATCCTGAGATTATTTTTGCTTATCCATCATACCAAACGACCCCTAATAGATTAAACTACAGTATAAATGCTTATAACTTTAACAAAAAGAAAATAAAAACAACTTGAATTGAATTAGAAAGTAAAAATAGAAACCGGAAAAAAAAAGCACCTGAAATTTACAATTGAGAATTAACGATTTACTAAACGTACCCTTCATCTTTAACGGAGAGATTGAGGAGGGCAAGAAGAGCAGCTTCAATGAATTCAAAGGAAGTAGAACGAAGCATGTCAACAAGGGGTTTAACGGCGTCAGAGAATTGACGCCGGTAACGCAGGGAACTCTTTGTTAGTCGGCGAATATCCCTAGCACCCAGCACTTTCAGAATTGGATCTTCCGATTGAACGAGATAAAGTGTTTTTTCAACAATGGACAAAGACATTGTAGTGTTAGTGTAGCTCGATCGATCAGGAAATAGGCTTAGCAAATGGACTGACGACTGGTACTTTAAAGAATAATTTTCGTAATAGAAACTTCAATAGGAGTGGCTCAGAGAAATAGAAGAATATCTAATTAACTAGAGAAGGTTCGAAATCAATGAGAAACTTTACGGTCATTGTCCGACAGCGCGGTTGACTTTCGTTCAACGGCTTTTGATAGTTGGTGGTTATGTTCACTCCTGGAGGCGGGTTCCGATAATTTTCTTATTCCTTTCTTATCTTATCCATATTAGGAAAATCACTAACCCGTGGCATTCCTTTTTGGAACTTTCTGATACCAAATTATTGGTATCAAGGTGTAGAGAAGAATCAGAGAAGAGAGAAGAGGGGAATGAGATAAGAGGAGAATAGGAATTCAGGGGAATAGAGGGACAGAGAGCATAGAGAGGGAAATATTCATTTATTTATCATTTTTCATACCATACAAGAGCATATATATAGGTCCCAGTATATTGAGCTAAGTAGCTATTGCTAATGCTAATCTACTATTGTTAGCTAACTAACACTCTTAATAGATATTTTGCCAGCTCATGCATCCATGTAGCTTGATTAATTCCACATCCTTGCATTACTAACTATTTTACTTGTATCACTTTCGTTTCACTTGGTTTTTTGAAAATTGTTCAACCAAACACCAAGAAAGGAAGATATTTTGATTATGAAGAAAATTGAAGACTATTCTCGCTGGGTTGGTCACCCCTAGCGATGGGTAAATAAATGGTCGAGTTGTCTTGTATATTAATAATTTTAGTATGGTTAATCTATTGCGGTCTGGAGGGTCTGTGACTCATCGAAATAGTGATATTGTTAACCATATCTATCATCTCTTGGTTAGGAACAGGGTGGTCTTTATTGCTCATATCTATAGGGAGAGTGGCTGATGATTTAGCCAATTTGGCCTTTAATCAAGAGCCTCCTTTTGAATAACATGCACTGTGTATTCTATCATAATTCACTCGCTTGATTTCTAGGTAGTTTTTTTTGTTTTTTTTTTTTTTGTTGGGGTTGTTTCCTTTTAGATATAAAAGAAAAGGTTTTCGGTCTTTACAAAAACTAAAACAAATTTTAAAATGAAAACATTTCTTTCAATAGGAAAAAAGAGGTTTGCAAGTAACACATCTTCAGATTTCACTTTTTCTTTTTCAGAACACACTATTAGAAATTCGGTAATTAGCGACCAAAAAAACCAATCAACTTTGGTCGGTTATGGCCAATTACCGACCAAAATGCGACCAAATACACTTGGACGGTATTTTGGTAATCGCTTTAGTATACCGACCAAAGTTGGTCGGAAATACCGACCAACGTTGGTCGGTAAATTAAATCCAAAAAAAAATATTGCAAAAAAAAAAACCCGACCAAAGTTGGTCGGTATTTTAATTATGTAATCAAAAGATTCATCGTCTGGGAATCGAACCGGGGTGTGTATTGTGGCAGGATACTATTCTACCACTAGACCATTGGTGCATTTTGTTTTAAGATTGTCTTTTTTTCTATTTATACTCTTTAATTGTATTTTCGCACGAAAATAACCGACCAAAGTTGGTCAGTTTTATTAAAAAATAAAATTACCGACCAAAGTTGGTCGGTTTTTTAAAATGACCGGCCGATTTTACCGACCAAAGTTGGTCGATTTTTTTAATATTAATTTTATTTATTTTAATTGCAAAAACCGACCAAAGTTGGTCGGTTTCTTGAAAAATAAATTTTGCGGGACTCAAATAAATAGTTTCCCGCATTTTTGCGCCATAGAAAACCGACCAAAGTTGGTCAGTTTCATCAAAAAAATTAAAAACTAAAATATTTTGAATTTTGGCCGGTTTGTTTACCGACCAAAGTTGGTCGGTTTCTCTTGGTCGGTTTTTGCCGAATTTCTAGTAGTGACAATCTTTCAAAAATTCAGTATGTTATGGTTGTGTATACGGTCGAAATCAGGGGAACTATGCGGAAACGACTTTTCAATCACTTCAATCGCTGACATCACGAGATTGACATCATGATCGAGGCATCGGAACATCGAAGATCAAACCGTTTCTTATCGTCTTACTCTAAAACCACGGAGACTGTCTGTCTACGGTCGAAATCGGTCAAAATCAGGTATGACCGATTTCCCGGACTCGAGGGGTCGTCTTAAGCCCAAGTTCAGGCAAGGTCGAGTTCGAGCTCGATGGACCAGACTCGAGCTCGAAGACATAGTGCAATGACCGAGGATCGAAGTACGATGAATATCAAAACCGAGCATACTCAACCCCGGGATAAAGCTGTTACGGATTTATAACAGAATGAGCAAGATTCCCGCCACGTCCCTAAGATCATGGCGTAAATCCCGGAATAGATTTGTACGAATCCGTACTAGGCCGTTAGACAGCTGTCCCAATAAGATTCTTTACTGTAAATGGAAATGTACCTTATTTAGGGTTCCCCTATTATATAAAAACCCAATCATTTGTAAACATCATCTAATCATTGGCAAAGAATATACTATCCTACTTTTCTCGCTCATTGTTCACCAGAATTGTCCTTTAGCTTTATTGTTTGTCACACCTCCTTTTTTAACTACACCCCGTGAAGGGTATAATAAAGGGAGTTTTTCCAATTAAAGGACAATCGAAACGGGATTCGTTTTATTAAAAGCTTCAGAGTCGCCACTTGGGAGATTTATGGTGTCCCAAGTCACCGGTTTGAATCCCGAATCGAGGAAAAGGTTTGACTCTGTTTAACAGTCGCGAACCAGAAATTCGGGTAAGGAATTCTGTTAACCCGGGAGAAGGGGTTAGGCATTCCCGAGTTCCGTGGTTCTAGCACGGTCGCTCAACTGTTATATCTGGCTTAATTATCTGATTTTAATACAGTTTGAACCTATGTGCAATTTTAAAAAATTTATCGCTTTTAATTAATTTTAAGGAAATTGAACGTCGTTTAAAACATGTTTTCGGATCACGTCACATGAAATGCACCCGGATCCTCAACACATTTTATTCAACGTTTTGGGATTCGGATTTGGGTCACATGAAATGCACACCCGAGTTTAGGAAGGTAAGATTATTAAAGAACGCGCCTAAAGCGACTAACGTGTTATTAACTTTGCGGGAGGCCATGAAAATTCGCTAAATGGCACGCCCCGAATTCTAAATATTTTAATAGAAATGACTAATGAGGGCTATGGTTTATCTATTTTTATTAGGCCGAGCCCGCTATCTAAAGCATGTAAGTGAGTTCATCTCTAATGGACTCGATCTTCTCCCTCACCCACAATTCAATAATCATCCAAACAGATATCATCTAGCCAAATGAAATAGGCATCTAGCACGGCAGATTCCAATATAACAAAAAGCTTTCTAAATTCTAGCTAAATCTCCCCTCACTCTCACATGTTCAGCAGCAAACATGATTCCCAGTGCACACGAGGATTAAAAATGTCAAAATATGACCAAGAGCAAACCAAAGCTTTCATAAATAAAAGAGCTAGAACACAATTTTGGAAACTAACTGAGAAAACTACAAATGCACCACATTCTGCAAATCTTGGCCATACAATTTGAAACATGAAGCTTGAGCGCAAACATAAACATTTCCATAACACTTACTCATCTAGCTAAAGAGAGAAGAGACCAAGAATGTTAAAGAATCAATCCCAACAAATACCAACAATCTAGAACTAAAGAAAATGACAAAGAGATCTTTTAAACTTGAATAAGCAGGGATTAACTTAAAAAGGAATTAACTAATGTTGTCACTGACAAACAGGAAGAAGATACGCATTTTCCTATCTTGAACCAGCCTTAACACAACAGTGAAGATTTCAATTTCATTCCAACTTAGCAAAGATGATCGATCACCAATATATAGAGAATCCCAAATAATGTTTTCAGCCTTTCATGCTTGAACCAGTGTGTTCGAAACTAAGCCAACAGTCATGAATCAAATCGTCAAATTCTAGCAGCTAGGAACAGACTTACAAGTGTCTTAATTAAGTGTATTTCTCAACAAACATAGAGGAAGAGGGAAAAACTATAGCAGCAAGACAGTATATATTTGATTTCATTCAAACCTATGAAGTATGCAAATTTTGCTAAGCCGTTACAGATCAACTAACACGAACATGAAAACTTTGCATTTGACATGGAACTTGTCGAATTACTTCTAACAGTAATCTAACAAGCCTCACTAACTCACATAATCACGCAAT